TGAAGTATTTATGGATGACTTTTTGGTATTTGGACCATCTTTTGATGAATGCTTAACAAATCTGAGTAAAGTACTTCCAGGGTGAAGAGATGAACTTGGTGCTAAATTGGAAGAAGTGCCATTTTATGGTACAAGAAGGGATTGTACTCGAGCACAAGGTGTCTAAAGATGGTTTGGAGGTGGATAAGGCAAAAATTGAGGCAATTGATAAACCGCCACCTCCAATTTCTAATAAAGGAGTCAGAAGCTTTTTGGGTCATGGAAGTTTCTATCTCAGATTCATTAAAGATTTTTTTAAGATTTCTACTCCCTTGTGCAGGTTGCTTGAGAAGGACCCTCCTTTCCAGTTTGATGATGATTACTTGAAGGCTTATGAGGAGCTGAAAAAGAGATTGATGACTGCACCAACTATCACAACCCCGGGTTAGGGAGAGACTTCTGAGTTGATGTGTGATGCCAGTGACACGACAATAGGAGCCGCATTGGGCCAAATAAAAAACAAAGTGTTCCACTCCATTTACTATGCTAGAAAAACTCGGAATCCAGCACAGATAAATTATACAATTACATAAAAGGAGTTGCTAGCGGTAGTTTGGGCGTTTGATAAATTTAAAGCCTACTTTGTGGGAATTAAAGTCATCGTCTACACGGACCATGCAACCATCAGGTACTTGTTTGAGAAAAAAGAACGCCAAGCCTAGACTAATTAGATGGGTTCTTCTTTTGTAGTAATTTGAGGTGGAAATCATAGATCGAAAGGGGACTGAAAATCATGTGGTTGATCACTTGTCGCGCTTGGAAACTCGCACGCATGTTGATGAAGAAGGTGAGATCAAGGAAAGCTTTCCCGATGAGAAGTTGTTAGCCAATACGACTGGTGCAGCCCCATGGTATACTGACAATGTGAACTTTATTGTAAGTTGGGTGACGCCTCTAGAGTTGTTGCCGGATGGTAAGAGAAGGTTCATTCATGATGTTAGATTTTATCTATGGGATGAGTCATTTTTGTTTAAGCATTATGTAGATCATTTGTTGCGCCGCTATGTTCCTGAGGAGGAGATGAAAGCAATTTTGCATGATTGTCATGTATCGCCTTAATGAGGGCACCATAGTGGAGACAAAATGGTTGCAAAGGTGTTGCAGTCCGAATTCTATTGGCCCACTCTATTCAAAGATGCACATACTTTTGTGAAAATATGTGATAGGTGCTAAAGAATGGGCACAATTTCAAGGAGGCATGAGATGCCTTTGAAGGGCATACTCGAGGTTGAAATCTTTGATGTTTAGGAAATAGACTTCATGGGGTCGTTTTCGTTGTCCAATGGTCATAGGTACATCATGGTTGCGATTGATTATGTATCGAAGTGGGTAGAGGCCGTGGGTTTTCCTACAAACGATGCTAAGGTTCTGGTAAACCTTTTGAACAAGAAAAGTTTCACAAGATTCAGAACTCCGCATGCTTTGATTAGTAATGGGGGTACTCACTTTTGTAATAAATTGTTGGCCATTGGCATGGAATCAACAAACAACGTCATTTATGTTGTAGCAAAAATTCAACAGTTTTCATGTAACCCCACCTCCAGAATACAACTTTACAATATCAAATCATGACCAGAGCATCGACAACTCAATCTTACGACATGTATATAGTGAAACAAGTATTCCTCAATGCATATTTGTTTCCATTTCAATTAATTGTAGCATTCCCCAAAGAAATTCAAGAGGAAACTTAATAATTGAATTTTGAGGAAAATCTCT